GCGGGGCTGGGAGGGCGGGGTGGGTGTGGGCCGCGCCGGCCAGGCAGGGGCTGGGGTCCCAGGGGCTGCCCTGGGCACGCAGTCTGGCATCTCCGGTACCCTGCGCGGCAGGCCGGCCTGTGGCGAGGGAGTGCTCGCTCTTGAGAACAGGGACCCTTTTACATCCTCCCAGGGCCGTGAGTTGGGCTCCAGTAAATGCTCCAAACGAGAGGGGACGGGTGGGAGCTCATCCAGTTAGAAGCCGTTATTTTTTTTTCTGGCTGCTTCCTTTTGACAACAGTGACAACGGACATCTATCTAGTAAGCGCGTACAATGGGACAGGCCCTGTAAGAAACACTCTGCATGCGTGTCTCAGTTTAATCCTTTCCCGGTGAAAAATTACTGTCTCGACCAAGCTCACCCAGATGCAGAACCTGGACTCGAACCTGTGTCCTTCTGACATCATAGCCGATGCCCCTTAATCACTTCACTGTCGAGGTAGTTTGTCTCAGAGATGCCGATCAAGCACACAGTATAGACTACGTTTAACTAGGTGTATTTCTTTTTATAACTATTTATAACTAGGTGATTTATAACTAGGTGATGTGCTGTGCAACGCAATTTTCTCTTGTGTTCTCTGAAAATTTAGACTTTGACTATACATTGGAATGCAGGTTAGAAGGGGCAGATAAAAGGTCTTACAACACTTAACAGACTTCTCTTTCGGAAAGCCATGGAAAAAAGCCTCTATCGGCCCCATGTACAATAAAATGGACCACGCTTAGGCCGCACCGTCTTCACTGACGTCACTGCTTGAGTCCATTGTTGCAGCCACTTTGTCATTCTGTCTTACTAAAGCTCTTCTTCTCTTTACCAAGCATGATGTCCTTCAGCGACTGATCCCTCCTAATAATATGTCCAAAGTATATGAGAGGCCCTCCTCACTACTAAGGAGCATTCTGGCAGTACTTCCTCCAAGACAAATTTGTTCATCCTTCTAGCAATCCATGGTATAATCCTTGCTGCGTTTGAGCCCATTGCTGAGTTAAGCTTACTATAGTATTGTGAAAAATAAAACCTTACAGGCCTATATTGTTGGAGAATTTGGATCTCTTTCCAATGGACATTCCTGTGGGTTGTCAAGAAGCAATTGCAAGTTTGGGGCATTTGCCTACAGAAAGCTATTTTTCCAAGGATTCATTTGGCTACTGGGAGTAGCAGAGGTCGGAGGAGGGAGATATGCATGCTTGCTTTACCATATAGGAGGTGGGGTTTTTTTGTTGTTGTTTTTATGAAAGTTGACCATAGGCAGAGTTTGTGGCTGTTGCTGAAGCCAACACAGCTGGCTTGGCATAGATGTAACTGAGCCAGACTCCAGTTAACCACTCTTTATCTTCTAGAGATAGGAATTCCACTTTGTTTATGTGAAACCTAGGGTTTTAGGGAAGATGAGAACAAGAAGATACAGACTTTTGAGGTCTTCTTGGCAGCCACATGGTGCTCCTGCCTGAGATGAGTCACCTGCCTTTCCCCAGGGACTCTGAGAAGCCCAAGTGCTTTGTTGCAGCAACATGGAGAAGATGCGAACCAGAAGTACCGGAGCCAAAAGATGTTAATATAATAACACAGCTTTCTCGAGTTATATATGGGGCTTGTTTGTAGACAAACATGGGATTGCCATAAGCCCATTTAGTGTAAGATGTTTTCTGATGAGTAATAAGCCTCGTATGGGCTAAGGAAATAGCTTAACAGTCAAGATTCAAGGAATCTATCCTGTCCAGATAAACTATTTTTAGCTAAATATTACTAATTATGAGGAAATAAGTTTTAGCCTTATTTTTAGGAGGAAGTGTGCTATGGATAAGAATATGGTGAAAACAGTTAACATGTAATCTTTCCAGCTAACAGTTAGCTGATCTCTGGAAGTCCCTGTTTGAAAGCAGGAGACAGTCAAAGCCAGGCTGTTAGTGTTGCAAGTGCAAGGGCTTGGAATCGTTTTCAAATCACTTTAGATTTTTCTATTTTTGGCAAGAACTGCTGATCAAGCAAATAGAAGTATTTTCTTAGAGGGGGGAAAAATGCAGGTGGTGCTAGACCATTGGCAATTGGAGTATAAGTTGAAATATTTATGTTCCAGTCAAAGCTTAAACCTAAAAATTCTTAAGAATGAACAGAAAATTCAAAGCAGTTGCCACATATCGTTTTCTATCTTCAACCTAGCTGGAGGTGGTTGTATTTAAATAATGACATGCACAAAGGACAATGATTTTTGTAGTGGCACTTTGTTTACACTTTGTTTCTCATACTTGGACATTAAAAAATACATGAAGCATGATGTCAGGAGTGAGATTCCTAAGTGTTTATGGTGAGTCTCGGCCAGGGCTTCTGAAATTCAGCGCCTGCACTATTGACAATGGCCATACAAGTGTTTGTTGTAGAGGCTGTCATGTGCTTTATAGGATATGTAGCAGGATTCCTGTCCGTCACTCACTGGATATCAATAAGATTCCTCCCAACCCTTCCACTTGTGGAAAACAAAAGTGTCACTAGACATTGCCAAGTGTCCTCTGAGAGGCAAAATCACTCCTAGTTGAGAACTTTTGGTCTAAACCTAGGACATTTGCCCAGGGCTTCCATGAGCAGACTCCCACCTACATGGCACCACATTTTCTAATCTTAATTGCTATCATAAGAAAAGAGTTGATTCGTCCTCCGTGTTAGTACCATCTGATTTTAAAACGACCAGCATAGTTTTCATTATTTGAAAAATATCTCTAGAGAAAGCCTTCCAAAAGATTTCTTTTAAATTTTTTTAATGTTTCTTGCCAACTAATTTTTAAATTAAAATTCGCAAAGCAAAGTTCGCATGGAAATGATAACAAGTCATTGTCAAATAGTGTAGTGCCAGCCAGGGAAGTAGTTACTGTGCCAATATTCTTTCTGCAAGTTCACACTGATATATTTTTTTCAAAATGAACTCTTCTGTACTAACCCTTTAAAGAACCTTAGAGGTTGCCTGAAGCCTATCATTTTTTTCAGATGAGGAAACAGATTTAACCAAGTGGGCTGAGTTGTGCAGTGTATCCAAAGTAGTTAGTGGCAGAGAAAGAGAAACCAATCTCCCATATAGAATAAATTCCAATCGTTTGTGTAGATCATAGTTTCCCAAAGTGGGCGATACCCGCTCAGGGGTGCTGGACTGATCCTGGGGAGCTGCCAAAGCAGATACCTATACTTTATACTGAATTGTGGGCTATAGTAAGTTTTCCATTCTCAGTGGGCTGTGAGTTGTTTTAGCCAAATGCATGTGGACCCCTGTGGTGTAGATAATCCCTTGTGGAGATCAAGTATGACTCTTCACCCTCTTTCTAAGCATGGGCTATGCTTAGTTATATCTTCTGAAGGGCACAAAACTGCCCAGTGATCACCTCCCACTGATGACCATGGTTAACCTAGGCAGAGCCAAGTCACGTTGATGGCCCTATATAATGCACTGCACCTCTCTGATCTCCTTCCCCAAAACATGTCTAATCATGGGGAACCTTCAGATCAATCCCAGTTAAGGTATGCTGCAAAATACCTGACCGGTACATTTCAAAACTCTCAGGGTCATCAAAAACAAAGAAAGTCAGACACTGCCCCAGCCCAGAGGAGGCTATGACACCCAGATATAATGTGGAGTCCTAATGAGATCCAAGGATGGAAAAGGACAGTAGATGCAAGCGAAGGAAATCCAAATGAATGTGGAGTTTAGCTAAAAGTAACGTATCAATGCTGGTTTCTTAGTTGTGGCTGATAGGTCAGAGCAATGGAAGAAGGTAACTAGCAGAAAGTGCCCTGGGTGTGCAGCAACTGTATTCTCTGTGTAATTGTTCTTAAATCTAAGACTATTCTACAGTTTAAAACAGAAGTAATTAGTGGCATGGCCTGCCTGCTGCTTTACAGGGCCTAGTGATCACCACTCTGGTACGCAGAGGAACCCACTCTTTGGGTGCTTGGAGTCCTCGTGAACAAATGTGTGTTCAAAAGAGATCACAACGTTGGCATTTTTATCTTGTAATGTATTCTACTTTCACAGCAGGAAGTGAAGAAGACGTTGATGTTGAAATGGAAGTTGAAGAACAAGATAACAAAGAAGCGAAAAAACCAAACATAAATTTTGACACCAGTCTGCCAACCTCACATACCGTATGTAATTAAGTAATACATTAGAGATTTGTGTAGTGTGCTTATGCACCAAGTTTATCACTTGAATAATTACTTGCACCCTCCATTTCTAGTCTTTTCACCTGATTTTCTCTTTAATCTGTTGAGCTTGTATATTTAGTGATTGTTCTGACACAGTGTGTGCCTACTACCCAACAGTACCTGGGTGTCGACATGGAAGAATTTCATGGCAGGACTTTGCATGATGACGACAGCTGCCAAGTGATTCCCGTCCTGCCGCAGGTGATGATGATCTTGATTCCTGGGCAGACGTTACCTCTGCAGCTTTCTCGCCCTCAAGAAGTCAGTATGGTGCGGAATTTAATTCAGAAAGATAGAACCTTTGCAGTCCTTGCATACAGGTAACGTAGAGTGAATTTGCTTAACGTAGTCCTTGACAAGTGTTGTCACAGCAGAGGCGGAGCCAAAGCCCCTTGCTATTCTGTCCAGGAGGTTCGCGCATAGACCAGTGATAAAGTAATATGTGGTCAGCAATTTGGGAGGTTGGAAGTGCAACATGGAGATTTTGTTATTTTCATAACCACCCAACTCCGATAATTACTGTCACACATAAAACTGGACTTCCTGGTGTGTGAAATTTGGTTACTCATTAGTATTTTGATTAAACATATCACGAATCTGATTTTCAGAAACCATTTTATTTAAACAGAGGGCTTTTTACATCTTAATGTAAAGGATTAATTTTCTAAAAATAGTAGTGTACTGTTTCTTATTTTCTTTGATTCATAAAGTACTCCATTACTGACCAATGTAAAGTTGAAACCGAGCTTCTGAAATCACTTGCAAAGGAGCCATGACTGGTGGGGCAGAGGAAATGCGAGCTGTTCCCACTCCCGTGCCTTGCAGCACTCGGCCCCAGAAATGATGACCTACCACGCTGCAGGGTGCTTGCTCGAGCCCTGTCAGCCCTAGGTCCCTTTTAAGTGACTCAAAACCTATTACTTTTCCTGAAGCACTAAATGCACTTTCTGAAGCTTACTGTTAGCACTTCCTGCTCCCGCCCTATCCCTTAAAAATAAATAAAAGGTAAGAATTTTGCAATTCAGACCGATTGTTATAAATTGTGTGTATTGCTTTTGCCAACTTTGCCTATTTTTAAATCAAAATTTCAATATATTTTCTTTTGGCACCTTGCCTGTGAAGTAACATACAGGAAAGAGAAGCACAGTTTGGAACAACGGCGGAGATTTATGCCTATCGCGAAGAACAGGATTTTGGTATTGAGATAGTGAAAGTGAAAGCGATTGGAAGACAGAGGTTCAAGGTTCTTGAGCTAAGGACACAGTCAGATGGGTAAGATATACTTTGTACCTTTTTTTATTCAAGAAAAATTAACACAAAAACCAAGTTTTACTGAGTATATTGATACTGCCTGTGGAAAATGGTGGCTTTAATGTTTCTATTAGTATAGATCTGAGCAATTGATGACCCCAGTTGGTTGTATGTTTGCAAGATAGCAAAAAGACAAAAACTTTTTACGGTAAGTGTTTTATGATCATGTCCACAGTAAATCAGAAACTGCATTCTAAAAGCCTTGGTAATGACCACAATAATTTGTACCTGTAAGTTGCATGACTATCTTTAAATGGAAAGGTTTTCTTTACAGTGAATGCTTCTCTTTCCTTTAAAGGGATTATAGTCCAGGGTTTCCTATCTAGCCGTGCATCAAAATCACCTGGGAAGTTGTTAAAACTATGAATGCCTGAGTTCCAACCTCATCTCCTACCTCCAGAGAGTGATTGACTCTCTCACACGAAGCTGCAGTCTCTTTTAAAAATGGCTTCCAAAAATAATTTATAAATTAGCAAGGGTTCACGAGGGAGCGGAGAGGGAGGGGAGAAAATGAGGTGATACCAAGGACGTAAATTGAGAGCAGATGTTTTGAGAATGATGAGGGCGACGAATGTACAAATGTGCTTGACACAATTGATGTATGTATGGATTGTGATGAGTTGTATGAGCCCCCAATAAAATGATTTTTTTTTTAAATGGCTTCCAGGTGATTCTAATGCCCAGGTATGCTTAAGAATAGTAATGAAGACTCAAAGCGAGTGCCTTTCGCAGCTCAAGCTCTTCCTAGTGCAGGGAAGGCGTGTGCGTTCTGAACACAGGGTCACTGGACAGCCAGTGTTTGCAGCATTCCTGCCAACTGCCCCATCGACATGCCCATCCCCCTCGTGTATTTTGGGTCACCTATACATGCTTTTATATACGAAGTGCTCAGTAATTGCTTCTTGCTTCTGTGCCATGTAAAGCATAGCGATTCTCAAAGCAGACTGGTAAGGGTTGATTCAGGTTGGCACGACCATCAGGGTTAGGGCTTTTCTCAAGTTCAAGGATTACTTAGCTTGCTTGCTTGCTTCTTATTATTTATTTATTTATTCTTCCTTTCTTCAACACAGAGACCTACTTTATCCTATAAAGATATACAAATTAGAGCCACACTTTTGCTGATCATTGCATATGATGTCCTGTGTCTTTGATTCCCAACCCTGGTGCATAAGTGTCACCTGTGAAGTCTTATAAAACTAGAAACACTCGGGTTCCACCCTGATCCTAATGAACCTGTCTCTGATCCATAGCCAGAGTTGAGTATCTCATCAGACCTTAATGTTGCACAGGTAATATTTGTGAGCATGTGAAATTCAGCGCTTATCTTAAGATGTATATTTTTTTAAAAGGGAGGTACCTGAGGGCAAGAACTTACGGTTTTGTTCAGTGGTGGGAGCCAGAGAACAATAGAGCAATGTGGGATGGGAATGCCAGGGCCCGTGGGTTTGCACCTCTCCTTACCTGGTATTCCACCAGACAGACATCCATTGTGGTGCTTTCTTACACTGTCACTCACTACAGGATGGCTATGCTGTAAATACTCGAGTATAAGCTGAGGCATCTAATTTTACCACAAAAACTGCATTAAAAAATGTGCTGAAAGACTCGGCTTATACACGAGTATATACAGTGTGTCTCTCCCTCCATTAGTAAGCTGCTTGAGGACGGAGACAGGGACATAAGTAACTGTATTTTCACATAAGTAACCCATTCCACAATTACTGCATGTCACACAACCCCTCCTGCACTCGTCTCCTATGTACACTATACATATTTCCAAGTGTGCATGTTATTTATAGCAGCACTGGGTGAAAATGCAGTGTGTCTCCTTAGAGGAGACAATCGGTGTTGTCAACATGAATGAATGAATGAAAGAATGGCCTCCTAACATTGTGATCATTGGCTGCTGTGGGTTTTGCTAACCATTCCAAATGTCAAGTATTTCCTGTCCTTACACGTATCCAATTTTGGTTATGTGTTTCCAGAAACTATGAAGGGAAATTGATTTGTGGAGAAGTACATTTCTCAGACTGTCTTGGCATCTGTCACTTTCAGTTGTGGAAAATCAGTTTTGAACACAAGATGGCAGTAGACCGTTAACTCTGAAAACAGTTGATGTTTGTCTAGTCAGAGAATATCTTTAAACTGGTAGGGTTGGGGAAGATTCGCAAAGGGCATGGATCCACTGGGGACCACTCACAAACGCAAGTCTATCTTCATTTACAAGTCCTCCCCGCAAGGAGCTCCCTGGCTGCCATGCCATTCTCATAACCTGCACTAGCAGTGGTGACACGAAGAAACCCTGGAGACTGCAAGGCCTGCTTCTTCCAAACAAGAAACCGTACTCGCTCACATAATATGTGTGACCATGCAGCCAGTGAGTGCTGGAAGCTCCCTTCCTCCGTCTCAGAATTCTTCTGTAGCTCATTTGAACAGGCCAGTTCCTCTTCTCCAGTAAAGCAATCCTAGGTGGTAGCATTCAGTTTCAAAGTAAACGTTTTTTAAAAAACAATAATACCAACTTCTAACTCTACCTGGTGTTTACTTAAAGATGGAAACAGCAAGAATTTATACATACATTTTATTTTGGCATTTGCTCGCTTCATATTTGATGGAGGGATAAGTTCTTATCTTTGAGAATTGGCCTTGCACTTTGGAGCTGGTAGTAACTCATCTTTCCTGCATAAACCACCTTTAATGCTTCCTCTGTATTTTACAGTCAATGCTTTCCCTTCTTGAAAAATTTTTAGCATAATCACAAAACATTTTTTTATAGAACAGAATTTATTGAATAGATTTTGTCCATTATTCCCCCACTGTTGAAGTTGAGCCTAATTTGGCAGCATCTCTGATGGTTCAACATAATGTTTATTGAGGCAATTTTATTTCTGTACTGTAGTTCACCGATTTGTATGTTATTTATATTGATTATATAACCATAATCACAAAAACAATTGCCATAAGCAGGTTGGGAAAAAGCAAAAAATAGTTGATGTTAAGAGAAAAGCTCAACTGCTGGGGCAACAACCAGACAGCTGCTGTGCAGAGTAAGCCGAGGTCCCGGGAGGCCTGGCTTCCACCTAGGGCAGGCCACCTGCCTGTACTGCAAGCTGAGGACTTCATCGCAGTACCTTGTACATCAGTGTTTTTCTTAAATTTTGACTAGAAAAATCAAAATAGGAAAAACAAAGCTTACCTACTAGTTGGGTAAAACATAATTTTATCTGATAACCTGGAAGAAAAACTATTTTGTTTTAACTTTCTATAAGATGGTAAAGGAGCCCTGGTACTGTAGCGTGATATGCATTGAGGTGCTAAATGCAAGGTTGGCAGTTCAAAACCACCAGCTTCTATTTGAGAAAGATGAGTTTTTCTACGCCCATAAAGATGTATGGTCTTGGAACCCACAGGGGCAGTTATAGGGTCACTGAGTTGCAATCAATTTGATGGCATGAGTTTATTTTTTTAGATAGGATATAGCACTCTTGGGTAAGCATTGTCAGTATTTAAAACCCAAGTTCCATCTCCTCGGGAGAAAAAGGAGGTGAGTTGCCTCAGAAACCACTGTGAGTCTGAATCAACTTGATGGCAACAGGTAAGAAATAACACATAACGCTGGTGTTTTTTTGTTTTGTTTTAACATTTTCCCAAGTCATAAAAAAAAATGGCATTAGCGAACTAAGTATTTTATTAGCGTTAAACTTAGATATTTACAGACATGCTTAGCTATTTCATTTAATAAATGATGTAGGTCATGACTGGTTGCTGTGAATAACCACTGTAGAAACCTTAAATAGACTGAATAAGGAAGCAGAGACTCTATATATTTGACTTTGTCATTCTGGCTCTTATTCCAGCATTTGAATGTACTTATACACTCGAAATTTCAAAAGCTACTCTCTGGGAAGTATAATCCTTCAAGAAAATTGCATATTAGGTCACGACGCTATTTGCAATTACAGTACTCTCAGGTAGCACCCGACTTAAATATTTTTGGAGTAGGAAAAAATACTGTGTGTTAGTCCGGATTGACTAGAGAAACAAATTCATAAACGTGTGTAAGAAAGAGCTTTGTATATAAGATTAATTGAGTATTGAGAAAACAACCCAGTCCAGATCAAGTCCGATATTAGCCCATATGTCCAAAACCAATCTATAAATTCCTCTTCAGACTCACAAAATACATGCAATGATGCCGAATGCAGGAAGATCACAAGCCAGTGGGTGGAAAGTCTTGTGGATCCAGTGGCAGTAGAAGCATCTCATAGCTGGCAGGGGTTTCCACGTAGCTCTTTCAACTCCAGGGCGCTAGCGTAACTCCATGTGTCTTGTCCACAGAAATGTCTCGCAGGAAGTGAACATGTGTCCTGCCTCCTGCGAGCTAATTATCTCCTTAGCACTTCCAAATGAAGTCATCAAGCTGCGACCTGATTGACAGACTAAACTCTATACCTTCACTTTTACGTCTCAAATTGACAACAGATTGTGAAACTACAACATAGTAATAGGCACATTTTGATTTCTTGGCATATTTAAGTTGATTTGAAGATGAGAGAAGACTGCATATCGAATACATATACACTTTTTCTGTTCTAACTTCAACTCATCGATATGAGTGGGTTTTGGAGTTCTTTTCCCATTTTCTCTCTGTTCCTCAGTTGGATAAGTTATGATAAAGGATAGGTTCAAGAATCAGGGTAAGGGGTTGGGGAGATGGAAGTGATAGGCTAAGAATTTACAAGTAAATTTAGAAGTATCAGTTTAAGTAGTAATTCATTATAGGTTGAGTTTTTAAAACTTTGTCTCCTTTAAACACTATTTATCAGAAATATAGAACTTTCCCATCAGTGAGAATAAAACTTGGAAGCTTAGGTTATCTTTGGTTTTAACTTTGGTTTGATTGTTACTATATTTAACATCAGTGTTAAATGTTTAAAGCACAAATGTTACTATATTTAACATCAGTGCTTGAATGTTTAAAGAAAACGTTGAAGATCTCAGTATTTGAAATTATCATTGCTTTCATACTTGTATTTTGTGATAATCTGTCTTAAAAATTAACACAGTCCTTGATTCTCTTCATTTTAGAATCCAGCAAGCCAGAGTGCAAATTCTTCCTGAATGTGTGTTGCCTTCAACTATGTCTGCAGTTCAGTTAGAATCACTCAGTAAGTGCCAAGTATTTCCTTCAAAGCCTGTCTCATGGGAAGACCAGTATTCATATAAATGGTGGCAGAAATACCAAAAGGTGAGAACTAATTTTTTTATGTATCTTCAAAAAATAAGATAGGTTGCCTTTTTCCTGGTTTAATAAAATATAAACTACTCTCCTCAGACACCATTTCTGGCTGAGATTGATCAGAGCTGGGGTTTCTAACATTTATAAATAGCTGGGGCATCTATTTACATAGTAGCAAAATATCAAACAGCTGTAAAATGTTCTTAGGTTTATAAGCTATGTGTTAGTAATTGCTTGAAGTTTTTAATCTCAAAGAATTCTCTTTTTAGATCATATTTTTGGTTCTTGAGTCAAAACACATTACTTTAAAGAATAGGAGGATAAGTTTGTGGTAGCATAGTGTATGTTTAATCTCTTCCAAGATTGTGAGAGAAAATATTATCAGTTCTTGTTTTGTAAAGCACTGTTAACATTTAAAAGATTGAGTTGAGATTTTGTCATTGTTGGTAGTTGCCATATAGTTAGCTCCAGCTCAGAACCACCATATGTGTAAAAGAAGGAAGCATTGCCTAGTCCTGTGGCATCTTCAGTCTTGACTACGTTTGAGCTATTTCTGTAACCGCTGTAGCTCGTGACAGTTTTCTTCACCCTCTGCTTTAATAGCTGTGCTTCCTCTGCTCGTGGACAGTGACCTGTCTAAGGAAAGCGAGCAGAAGACCTCACCCCCATTTTAAGAGGCATTCTGGCTGCACTTCCTCCAAAACCGTATTGTTGATTATTCTGACAACACAATTGAAATATTTTGATTATCAGTTTTTGTTTTTCATGTGCATATGAAATGCGTGAAGAGCATAGCTTGGGACAAACACATCATAGTCTGAGTCAGTTAATTCTGCCAACCTGGCCGATAATCACATGTGGGCTAATTGAAAGGCGGAGGGATAAATGGGTGGTGAGCCTCGCCTTTCTAGTTCTCGGGTCTCTTGCTTTGTGATGGTCCGCACACCAGGGTGCAGCTAGCTGCCTTAGCAGTTCCCTGCTACAGCTTGCAAGATTGACTTCCTACAAGACATCCCCAAGGAGAAGCCACATGGACCTATCCCGATGCAGCCCTGGGTGCTGGAGCAGCAGTGTGGAGACCCCTGCTAGTGCTGAGATGCTTATTCGTTCACTGACTCAGCTTTCCTCCTGCAGTCGGCATCATTGCCTCTGTTTTGTGAGGTGGAGGACTTTGTGGACTGGTGTTGGGTTAATGGGTTAATGTTGGACTTGTGGGCTTGGGCAGCATTGGGTTGGGATGTTTTCCTGATGCACACTTTCTTTACATAAAACTCTCTTATACATGAGTTGCTGTGAATTTGTTTCTCCAAAGTACCCTGCTTATACATAGTCCTTACAGTGACATCTTTGCTTTTTGACACCCTAAAGCAGCGGTTCTCAACCTGTGGGTCACGACCCCTTTGGGGGTTGAACGACCCGTTCACAGGGGTCGCCCAATTCGTAACAGTAGCAAAATTACACTTATGAGGTAGGAATGAAAATAATTTTATGGTTGGGAGGGTCACCACAACATGAGGAACTGTAATAAAGGGTTGCGGCATTAGGAAGGTTGAGTCACAGCTTTAAAAGGGTATTCTACAGCAGAATTTCCCAGTGCAATGCATTCTTTGGGTTTTCTTTACTACTACTTTCATGGACATTGTTAGTCTGGGTTGACTAGAGAAACAAATTCATAGACACGTCTATAAGAAAGAGCTTTGTATACAAGAGCAATTGAATATTGAGAAAACAGCCCAGTCCAGATCAAGTCCTTAAGTCCGGTATTAGCCCATATGTCCAATACCAATCTATAAATTCCTCTTGGAAGACTCAAAATACACATGCAATGTTGCTGAATGCAGGATGATCACAGGCCAGTGGGTGGAAAGCCTTTTGGATCCAGTGGCGGTGTAAGCATCTCAGCACTGGCAGGGGTCTCCACATAGCTTCTCCAGCTCCAGGGTCCGGCTGCCGTCAGCCTGTCTGCATGTGTCTTGTCAACAATAATGTCTCACAAGACTGAGGGGGACTGAACAGAGAGTCCCCCACCTCCAAGGAGGAATACCGGAGTTCCCAGAATCTTCAGGAGAAGCCCATGCCCACACAGAGGCCTCATTGGCTATGACCTGATTGACAGGCTAGACTCCACCCTTCACTTTTAATCCTCTCAAATTGACAATTATACAAATACCACAGATATAGAGTGTTGATCCAAGTAGAATAAAATCTTTGACAACTTCAATATTCTTTCCATTAATCATGATCTTGCTAATTGATCCAGGTAAAAAGATTTTTTCTTTATGGTGAAGTATAATCCATACAGAAGGCTATAGTCTTTGATCTCCATCAATAAGTGCTTCAAGCCCTTCTCACTTTCAGCAAGCAAGATTGTGTCATCTGTATATCACCACAGGTTAATGAGTCTTCCTCTAATCCTGATACCACATTCTTCATATAATTAAGCTTCCTGAGTTATTTGCTCAATAGATTGCATAAAAATAGCAGAAGGGTACAACCCTGATATACACCTTTCCTGATTTTTCAACTCTGCAGTATTCCCTTGTTCTGTTTGAACAATTGCCTCTTGGTCTCTATACAGGTCCCCCATGAGCATAACTGTTTTGGGAGATTCCAATTCTTTACCATCATATCCATAGTTTATTTTGATCCATGCAGTGAAGAGCCTTTATGTAGTCAGTAAAACACAGCTTTCTGGTATCCCTTGAATCCCCAAATCCATCTCAACAATGATATCCCTCATCTACATCATCTGAATCCACCCTGAACTTCTGGCATTTCCCTGTGGTGTGGCTGCGGCTGTTTTTAATTATCAGTAAAATTTTTGTTAGAATGATATTGTTTGATTTTTCACATTCTATTTGATTGCCTTTCTTTGGAGTAGGCACAAATGTGGATCTTTTTTTCAGTCAGTTGATGTGTACCTCTCTTCCCAATTTCTTGGCATAAATGAGTGAGTGCTTCCAGTGTTTTATCCTATCCCTTTGTTGAAACCTTCCATTGATACTCGGTTACTTCCTGGAGCCTGATCTGCCCTCAATGTCTTCAGTACAGCTTGGACTTCTTTCTTCAGGAAGCTCTCAGCTCCTGATCATACGTCACTTGAAGTGGCTGAATATCAGCTTGCTTTCACACACTGATGCTGTATTTCCTCCATCTTCTTTTGATGATTCCTTTATGCAACTTTTTGTCCATAGAATCCTTACGGCTTACAACTTGAGGCTTGGATTTTCTCTTCAGTTCTTTCAGCATAAGAAATGCTGATCCTGTTCTTCTCGTTCAGTTTTCTAACTGTAGATCTTTACACATTTTCTAGTAAATACTTTGCAGTAGGATGCAAAAATTTATGACATTAGGTGCTCTCTAAGAGTATTGCATGTCTTTAGTATTTTTTTGGTTAGATCATTTTATTTCCAAAAAAACATTGATTTTGATCATCAGTGAAATGTATCAGTTTTGAGTGTGGTTAATACATTTGGTTTTTGAAAAAAAAGATGGGATTACTAGTTTCTAATTTAGAATTGACTTCTTGTGAAGTTTATTAAAAATATGTAAAGAGAATTTCCATTATCTTAAAAACCCTGCATTAATTATCCATTACTCTTTGTCAAGTTGAGCAGTGATATAAAATCGTCTAAGATCCTGGTATATATAAACTAATAGAGATTATGCATTCAAGTGAGGACCTGCAGTCATGCAAATGTTAACACAGTCATCTGTGAACTAAAAAGTTGGACTCCACCCAGAGCCTGTCAGCTTGGAAGAAAGGCACAGCAATGTACTGTTGAAAAATCTGCCACTGCAAGCCTGAGGTGCAGTTTTACTCGGACAAACGTAGGGTTGGAATTTGTGAGAATCAACTTAATAGCAACTGGAGTAATAAGGGAGTCTTATACACTGATCAGTGTACCACTGATTAGAATATTCTGAGCAGTAGAATTCTTTCATTTTCAGACTCTTGTTCACAGTAGGCACTTGATGGGCATCGGGCTCATACTGTCCAGCCCTCTGTGGATCTTGGTCCTATTAGTCCTGTTTTTCAATTAACCAGTCTGTGATGTGATATACCCTGTATTTTAGTGTTTCTAACAAGATCTTAATAAGAAGGCTATAATTAAGTCAGTTGATTCCAAGACAACCTTCTAACGAATGTTTTCAGTGGTCTAACAATATGGAAACTGCCTTGAGTTTGCAGGAGGATTTTGTATGTCTGTATAATACTTCTGTGGTCAGACCTGATACAGACACTTTAAATACATAAGGGTAATTCACTTAGCATTCCAGTTCATACATGTATGAGTTTATCCCAAACAAAATGTGCTTAAACATGTCCCTAACATCTGTGCACAGCTGCAGACAAGTTTTCTCAGTATTACACTTACTTGTCTTAGTCTCATCCGGGGCCCTCAGAAACAGAGCCAAACAAAACTAGCTTCTAAGGAGATCTACTGGACTACCATTGTTAAATTCAGGGCAGACAAGTCAGCTCAGAAGGTTATGGCAATTGTTATCTTTTTGGTGGGGACCCTAAAGGGGTCATAGATTTCCTCAAAGGCCACGGGACAGCCATTGGGACTTAAGTTTTAAGAAAGCTGAAAACCACATTGGTGAGAAAAAGACCAGGAAAGTTATACCAACAAATTGTTTTCCTTCACAATACACCTGCTCATTCTTCCTGGGTAGGAAGGGCTGTGCTGTGAGAATTTCATTGAGAACCCTTACCCCATCCACCCTACAGCCCTGTTCTTTTTATTCCCCAAATGCAAAACCAAAGAACTAAGCTTACTGCCATCGAGGGAATGCTGACTCATAGCAACCTCTTGGGTCTCCAAGATTGTGACTGTTTGTTTGTTTTTATATGGAGGAGAAAGCCCAATCTTTCTTCCGAGGAGCTGGTGGTTTCTTACTACCAACCTTGCACATTACAGCCCAACATGTGACCACTGTGCCACCAGAGCTCCTGCAAGTAACATTTTAAAGGAGCATGATGTGAGCCCTCTGCCCTCTGACATAGTGTGAATTGAAGAGCACAGAATTCTCTGGGGAAGGATTACAGAGATGGAAACACTGCCTGCAGAAATGTGTATACCTAAAGGAGGTGCCAAAAATCAAAAGCTTCACACTTTGATATGTTATTGGTTTTTACAAGTGTGTTACATTACTTTTTTACTTACCCTCATACTCCTACTCTTTTTTAACAGTGGTACAATCGATTTCACTTTGACTCTTTCTACATACACTTCCTGAAAATGTTATACATAGCTCTTCCAGAATGTGGGCCAAGGAATAAATGTGGAATTTATGAGTAGAAAATGACCTCTTTCTTTGTAGGAGTAATAATTGTTACACTTAAACTCATGTGAACTGGGGATTCTTGTGCTAGTTTTTTTTACACCAAGACAAGCTGTTAAAAATTCTTAACCCATTTTAGAATCCTGAAGTAACTCTTTGCAAAGTTGTAAGCATAGGATGAAAATAATTCCTGACTGACTGGATCTGTTTCCTGTTCCTGGTGTTTTAAACCTGAACTTGCATTGAGCAAGTAAGACTGTTTTGTTAAAATTAATTTTATCGGAAATGCTGATTGCATTATTTCTATTGGGTACATAGAACATCTCAGCTTGTTCACACTGAATCAGAATTTGCCCTTTGCAACTGGGTTGACCTTGACTTATCACAAGCAAGAAAAGATGAGCTGCCAGGATTGCCCCGACCTTTCCCTACACTCTTACTTCTCTAATCCACTGTGGGACTTAAGTGGCTTTCACGTTCCAGATCACCAAGGGCTAAATGAAAGGTGCTAAGATGCTAAAGAATAAGAGGCTTAAAGTGTTTTTAGTAACAGGTGCCTTTATCATATGTTTTTCAGATGGTCTAAAGAGTTCCCTAATATAAACTTGGAATAGAATTATTTTAGGTTCTGAAAGGTGGGATTAGTTCATTGGGCAAAAAAAAAAGTGCTAACTGAACTCCTTTAAGCTCCAGGTGACCTATAAACTCTGTTTCACTTCAAAGTCTAGGTGAGCATTAGGAGTAAAGCCTCACAGAGGGGAAGATGGCAGTATCACGGGCAGGGAGTCCCTAGGCAGTTGGTCTCTGAAGCAATCTCAGTGGTTTGCTGCACCTTAGCTGGACAGTAACCTATCAGGGGACTGGAGTGTGTAATTGGTTCTTGACTTTAGGGCATGTTTCACCTTTCTCCCTACAGAGTTTTCACATGTGACTTACTTGTATATCCCGCCATGATATGAAGCAGCACAACCATGTGTTCTGTCTCCTGTCTAACAAGTACTTAAAATAGTCAGAGCCGGGAGAGATGCTTAGATGAGTCTAAATTGACTCGGGCCAATCAGCTTACCACCACACACTGTGCCAGCTTAAAAAAAAAAAAATACTTAGAGGATCCAGGTGATAGGTCTTCACTTAGCCCTGCTCGCCTCTGTTGAATTTTGCCACTGAAAACTGGACATCCCCAAATAGCATTTTTTTAAGCTTCCAGAAGTGTTCCTGTGTGGTCTTGCATTCTGAGAAGAACATTGGGGAGATCCAATGTGTTGCAAATAATTAGAGGCCAGTGTAACCACAAACCCCCATTTCCATCTAGGTACCTTCCGAATTTTGATATTTGAAGCTCATTTTTACTTATTTCTCAGTAACACTGATTTTTTTCTAGTTACTGGGTTTACCATAGGAAAATTCTTTCAAAAAAGTGAGGAAACTTTTTAGACCTATTTAGAGTTTGACTAATGTTTCTAGCTTCATTTCCAGCTTGCTAGTTTATAAAGCCCTTATATGTTAATAAGAAAAGAGTAAAGAGGAATCAAATGGAGAAAATGACTAATGGCCATCGTGCCACGCAAGCTGCTCCTCAAACAAGCCCTCTTCCAGAGTTCATGTAGAGTGTGCATCAACATCGATTTCCTTCCTCTTTCTATGCCAAAGACACTGGCTATCTTGGATGTTACTCTCTTACTGATGTATCTTATAGAATCTCCTATGTCAGTTTATGGAGTACTCCTTCATTCTTCTTAAGGGTGAACATGTTCTGTTATACGGATACATAATTCCTAAAGCCAGTATCATATTGATGCCAGAAAGGCCTGCACTAAATAATGTGTACAAATGACCTTTCGTACAGGTGAATCTATGTGATCTTTTGATAGATGGGCACCATCAGCTTTCTTCACCACATTTGCTTATGCACCAGCTTTGTCTTCAGTGATTGTATCAGGAAGGCGACCATCATGGAATGCTGGTTTAATAGAACAAAGTATTCTTGCATTGAGGGAGTACTTGAGTGGAGGCCCAATGTCCATCTGCTACCTTAATACTAAACCTATCCATATATCAAGTCCTTTTTGCGTGTGCTATATACAAGGTCTTTTAAGTGCAAGAGTAGGTTCTTCCTTTGTTTTGTTAAATGTTATTTTGCTTTTCAAGTTTCAATTGGTAATCTATTGCCACTGAGTTGATTCTGACTCATAGCAGCACTATAGGTTAAGATAGAACTGCCCTCTAGGGTTTGCTAGGCTATAATTTTTATAGGAGCAGAACATCAGATCTTTTCTTCCAGAGAACAGCTAGTAGGTTCATTATAGGAGCAGAACATCAGATCTTTTCTTCCAGAGAACAGCTAGTAGGTTCAAACTGCAGTTAGCAGCCAATGCTCTAACCTTTGTGTCATCAGGGTTCCTTCTGATGCATTATGAAACTCCTTCTCCCTCCCAGTTTCATGTGTCCTGCTCTAGCAAACAATGAGCAGTTTATTTACATGTGATTACAAACATTGGTAGATATGGAGGTATTTGGGGTTAATTCATTTTCACTGATGTGTTTTTTTGACTAATAAAATTTGTATTTTTGTTCTTTGGCAGGTTCTTTGGTCAATTTTGTAATCTTATATTTAAGTGAAAACTATATATAAGTATTGATTGTTGACTATGTTATTGACTATTAATAGATGTTTGTTTCCAAGTTGTTACTGTTAACAGTACTGCTACAGCATGTCCTTTTGATCCTGTCTGTCCTGCAGAAGTGATTTTCAAAATTGTCTTGATTTTGCAGTGTTTTCTAAACTCCAATCTCATTGGCATTGCTTTGGATATGTAATTTGAAGGCTGGTATCTTAAAACAGTGATTCTATTAATCAAATAACAAGAATTTAAGTATAATGAGCATTTTAATATAAATTTAGCATACTTCTGTTTGGATCCCAAAATTAATGAAGCTCTGCTTTACCCGGGTTTTTTAAATTGAGAACTTGATTATTGGGTGCTTTCCATTTAGAAGCCAGAATCATGATTTCATTCTTGGAATTTTCTCACTTTTGTCTGTCTCAGTGCTGAGTCCTATAAAATGTGTACAGAAAGACAGTTGTGCTGTATTTTAAGGTTTTCATTGCATATGCTGGGCAAGTAATTACCAACTAAACGTAATTAATGTGGTCATAGTAGAAATAATGATTTTACTAAGTTGTCCTCAGCATATAAAAATTTCCATATTAAATCTTAATATTTGAATTTTATCTGAGAGATTGTGTGTGTGTTATGGATATAAATTAGAAGGGTATAAAAGCATGAATATTCAAGTTTCATAAATAAACCATCTACTGGGAAGATTTTCTACAATGTTGTCTTTTTATGGTCTCTTCCTGGAGTATTAGTCTTAAATGTTGTGTCGTTTACCATAAGGGAATATTGATTCTGTGGTTTCTCTTGATGTATACTTTTTTATTCCATTTTCAGAGGAAGTTTCATTGTGCAAATCTGACTTCATGGCCTCACTGGCTATATTCCTTATATGATGCAGTAAGTAACATACCTTATTTATGGTCTTGGATCTAGAGTAGTCATGTCATGATTAAGGGTAATTAGAATAAAGCAGGTCTTTTGTGCTTGGTAAGGTTTTCTTTTCAGGATTAATGGTATTAACTAAATGTAGACAGGGCAGGAATCAAATTCTGCTGGATACATTTTGCCTCTAATTTAAAGAATGTTAAATTGTCTTACACTTGCTAGTGACTTATAAAGCAAAATATTAAGTAGCTCATTTAAAATTTTGAGTGGATGGTGTTTTACATTTAGAAAATTAAATAATCATATATAATACTGTTTTGGTGTTTTCCTAAACAAGCATAATAATTTAAATTAATGTATTTTCTGAGATTAAAACATGGCATTACTACTTGAAAAATCACTAGGAGATTACCGAAGTAAATATCATTAGTTTTGGATATATAGCCTAATTCCATTGCTTACTCTGTATCTGGGACAGATTTCTTCTCTAAATATCTCTAAAGTGGGATAATATTACATATGGCACATAGTAGGCATTCAACAATTATTTGTCATTTTCCATAGTGCTTCACCACGCCCACAAATCTGGAGTCTTAAGACAATGAAGTAAATTCTGTGTACTGATGTCCTGCAGAGACCAAGGAAACTGCAGTTGACCTCTGCTGTTCACCAGCTTTGGAACCATAATCACTACACATTAAACAAGCAGATTTGGGCAGGTGCTGGGAAAAGATAATAAGCATCCCTAGGGTAGCAAATAGGTGACCTGTATACAAATGTCAAGTTCCAGAGCAATGAATACGTACTACATGTCTATGAACTGAGTCAGAAAAGGCTTCACTGAAGGCAGGGGAAGTAGGACCACTTCATCACTGATCAGTGTATCTCCCAAGGCAGTGAGTGAGTAGCATCTGTCCCTGGGATGAGCCTGGAAAATAGTGGACACATTGAAACTGGAATTCAGATGGGACAATATTACCATATAGTGATGACTTAAAATACTACTAGTGCTACTACTTATATTGAAAAGAGCTGAAAAACTGGCAGACTTTGAAAGTATACATAACTTACTACGGATTCTTTTCTTTTAAATAAGGAAACCTTAATGGACAGAATCAAGAAACAGCTGCATGAATGGGATGAAAATCTGAAAGATGAATCTCTTCCATCAAATCCAATAGGTATTGAATGTCTGTTTCTTCCTGTGGGTTTGGTATTTTGTTCAAAGAAATTACTTAATGTGATGATTACCTTTATAAAACATCAGTTGAGGGGAAACATTTTTTTCAATTAATTGTAACAAATTTCTTATAGTCTGTGTGCCTTGATTGTTGTAAGACTTTCTTTCATCCAAAAAACGCCCTCTTGGGTGCAAAGACCTCCCATACCCTGTCCTTTAATAGCCCCCCCCCAAAAAAAATCAGTTCTAGTTCAGAGATTTTTTTACATATAATTTCTATATTGGTTTATCCTGTTCAGTTTAACTATGTCTCTACTTTTTGTCACGTAAAGTGACTTTCTACCCTGGATTTGTAACTGTCTACCATGGATTTTATTTCATATTTTAAAGATGAAATTTTACAGAAAAGGTATGGGAAAATAAGTTTCTTAATGGTGCATGCTGGATATTGGTATACTTTAGCATTGTTTTGTACAAAATGTGTCTTTTGGAAACCCTGTAGATGAGGTTATTCTAAAAGGAAGTTACTTTTTAGAGTTTTAGACTGATGCGTTTAAAATGAAAAAACTCACAATGTCTTTAAGATTTTTCTTACAGAGTAGCCGCTTGTCTTCCCATTGATGATGTATTAAGGATCCAGCTCCTTAAAATTGGTAGTGCTATCCAACGACTTCGCTGTGAGCTAGACATTATGAATAAAGTAAGTAAAGTGAATGTGTTTGACACCCATGTTCAATCAGTCTAAAGAACTAAGTTGTATTCTTGGGAGCAATCGTCATTGGGGCCCAGCTATATAGTCGACTATTACAATTAATAAGAGCAGTTTACTGTCCTGGTTTACGTGTAGTGTAAAGAAAAACGGACATTTCATTTGGAGTCATGCAGATAAACTCAAAATTATTTTGCTTTTCTGAAATATATTTAATCTAGTACTTGTTTCTGAATAAACTTTTTGAGTTCCCTACATAGTATATCTGTGGCTAAGTATCAGATAATCACTTTTCCTGTATCCTAGATTGTCATTTAGTTTATAACTGAACATGTGGCAGGTTCTGGGCTTGGGGGGCGCTTTTCTTTAATTCTTTCAATTGTTTTAATGGGGTTAGAGTGAAAACATGGTGTTTTGGTATTGAGTGTCCAGTACCCTAGAAAAACTTAGTGATACGCTATGTAATTATATAATAAAATGAATTTTCCTACTGATAATTTCCTTTTAAATGTTTAGTGTACTTCCCTTTGCTGTAAACAATGTCAAGAAACAGAAATAACCACCAAAAATGAAATATTCAGGTGAGATCATTCTTATATTTTTAGAATACTTGTGAGTACATTTTCCAACTACCTTGTCAGAATTAAAGTTAGGTTACATTTCCATTTTTCTATATAACTTCGCAAATTAAATTTGAAAAACTCAGTTTGGGATAGGCAGTCTTCCTGACTAGATGCTCAGAGCAACAATAGCTATAATAAGTGTTACTATAGGCAGTAGCATGGTAAACTTAAAAACTGGGCCTTAAGTTTCCAAACTCGCCTCCCAAATCCTTAATGAAAATCTTTTTTTTTTTTAATGAAAATCTTTACTTGAAAATATCTTTCTTGTGATTAAGGGCCTAACATGAGTACTCCCACAATTTTTAGCTGTACCACTTAGGGCCGATCATAAAGTAGAACATCGTTCTGACCGTGTATTGAGGTTGTGGTAAAATAGTGCTTGAAAGGGATTTTATGTCATCACCTTCCCAAACACAGGGATTGGCTACACAGTAATTAGTGTCATTGCACTGACACAATCAGATGAACTTGAGATCTGTATATTTTACAATGTAATGAAGGCTTTAAAAACTAATGCTAGTACCATTTGAGTCATGAAAAACATTCAGACTGAACAAAATGGGACTGATTGCCACCCACCTATCTTCTTTCTAAAATTCTGGGTTACCAAAAACTAAAAGTTTAAAGGAACTATGTATTTTTATAGCATGACCTCATTTCTTGGTGAACATTTAAATAAATGTAGACCATTAGAACTATTTTTTGACTCCTTCATGTTGGGTCTCTGTTCTAGTTTATCTTTATGTGGGCCAATGGCGGCTTACGTGAATCCTCATGGGTACGTGCATGAGACGCTGACTGTGTACAAGGCCTGCAACTTGAATCTGATAGGCCGGGCTTCAACAGAGCACAGCTGGTTCCCTGGGTAATGTTATGGTGCTCTTTTTATTTTAGTTTGTGTTTTATTGGTTTTATTTGCTTAAAATTGGATAGAAGAGAACTAGAGTCATCAGCAGAGTTTCTAGAATTTTAATAAGAAATAGAAAATTAAACAATTATATTGTGTTTAAATATATAAGCTTTTCATTTCATTAAGGGCTAGAAACAGCAATCATGCTTTTTATGCCTTTTGCAATTTTATTGAATGCTGGAAAAGAGAAGGTTGTAACTTTCATTATCCTCAATCAAAATACTGTCCAGTTACTACAAATTTATTTTGAGGTCATCTTATTCTGAAAATCAACTATTTCATGACCCACCCAATTTCTTACTGGATCACATTCTGTAATAGTAAAATCCAAAGAATGTTTCCCGAGCAGTGATAGGCTAAAAAGATGCAGAATCCATGGAATCTTGCCTTTCTTCCTACATAAATGCTTAAGCCCAGCAATTTTCAAAGCGTGATCTCAAGACTAGCAGCATCACCTGAGAATTTGTCTTTGGTTCCAAATTCTAGGTCAGCCTTATATTTTGAAAGAGACCGCTGCGGGTGGCTATATTTGCTGCTCTGGAACAAGACCTTGTCACTTACATTGTCTCATTTTATTTGGCACAAGAATTACTAACATGCTAAATCTTGGCGATTATATATCTTCATAGAAGAAAAGGAAATTGTTACAAGTACATGGTTTGGTTTAGCTTTTTCAACAACAGAAACACTGTTATTTAATTCTGGTTCAATTATTATCTTGAATAATCTTTTTTTTTTTTTCAGGGGCACTTAGAACTCTTATCACAATCCATACATATATCCATTGTGTCAAACATATATCTTTATATTTTACACTGGCCTTTAGGCTATTTTCTCTGGTGAGAGTAAGGGGCAGTGTTTAACTCTGGCATCAGGGCAGTGTACATTTCTTCAGGCGGTGCTGTTTCCTAACCTTAGCTGCAATACGAACAACAAAGGAAAAGTGAGGGTCAGAATGTGGTCTTAGAACCAGCAATTTGTATGAAGGAATCCTAATAACATTAATCTTTTGCTTTCTTTTCATGAGAGAACAAAGTTGAGCATAGTCACCAAATTGTAAAGACAAATGCATTACCATATGAAGTGCACAACTAGAAAATCACAAACAAAGTTTGTTTAGCATAGTTATGTGAATCAGGTAATATACATATTTGTTCTGTCCTGAAGACTTGGGGATAACAGGCTTATCTGATATAGGTTCTGGGTCCAAAGATGTGTTTCCTGGGCTGAATCCATTCCTTACTTTTTTAGGTATGCCTGGACTATTGCTCAGTGCAGGATCTGTGCAAGCCATATTGGATGGAAATTTACAGCCACCAAAAAAGACATGTCACCTCAAAAATTTTGGGGGTTGACACGTTCCGCTTTGTTGCCCACTATCCCAGACACTGAAGATGAAGTAAGCCCAGACAAAGTAATACTTTGCTTATAAACAGATGAGAGGATAGAAAGTGATTTGAACAAGTTGGCAGAAATTTTACACCTGAGTAAATGGCAACATTTACATTAAAGGGTCAATTTCTTAATTAAACTATGTAGGAAGAGTTTTAAGTTGTATTACTGGGGACAGTGAAAAGCAATCTAAAATGTTAAGTTCGGTTTCAGGAGTATCTTTTAGTAGCTCCATACCATTTCATTGATAAGTCATGAAGGTATCTTCAAAAGTGATGTTGTTTCCTGTACAACTGAAATAGAGGACTGTTTTCAATTCCTATAATGTGAGATCAGTCACTTGCTTGACTGTAAGAGATAAGTCAGGATACGTCAGCCAGTGCTCCAGCAGGAGGCTCTAAAAGCCAGGTGTCAAGCACTCAAGTACATATATGATCCTTTTTGAAAGAGGCATGTTGGTGTGTATTGTTTTAAAAGGGTTTTGCTCCTTTTAACTTTCTTTTGCTTCTGATATATTGATTTGTAAATCTTGACAATATTGAAGAGTTAAAATATGCAGTTGAAGCCCCAAAATTACATTTTCATTTCCTGTTAAAGTGAGAGAAATCGTATTTTGTGTATTTGCTCAATAGTTGCTTGAACCATAACTATAGGTTCTCTACATCAAGCTATTTTTCAAAAGGCAAGCTTAATTTGAACCTAAATGCTAAAGCAAATTCCCTTGTAAACAAGCTAGAAGTTGTGGTGTATTTTGTAGGCTTTTTTTGTTCAATGTAAATCAAAGAAAATCTGTAAGTAAACTGTAAAAGCAAAACTAATAAATACTGTAAAAAATATACCCATAAGCAAATAGTGTATGTGTAAGAATTTTCAAAGTTGAAGTTGTGGATAGACTGATTTGCCACCTACCTCTTTCCTTTCATTCAAGGGTTTAGTTGATCCTTTTCATACTGTGTAATTAACTGGTTTTATTGATACTCCTTCATAGGTCAGTGGGAAAGGTTCAGTTGGATTTGAACTTTGAAACAAACTAGTGTAAGGCCAAAAATGGACTTGTTATAGGTAATGTTGTATTATCAATATTTTGTTTATCAAACATGCAATGGTTTTTTAATTATTTTTCTGAATATCATGTATAATTATGTAAGCAGTAAAGGAAAAGCAGCTCAAGAATGCTGTCAGTTGCTTAAAGTATGTCTGCGGCCTTATTTGATATACCCAAGATGGTCATTTCTTTTCTAAGCTCTATTTTATTACTACTGATCCACCTTTGTGTTTACAGATCTGCTCACTTCACGGGTTGTTCATAAAGTCTTAACACTGAACTAAAAACGTACTAATTCTGTGCTGTGTATACTTCCACAGAGTGCAAAAACATTGGTGTAATATCAGAATGTTCTGTATTACTTACTGGCATTTTCAAATAAAATTTTCTGATATATATAAAAACATGCATATAACACTATTTTAAAATAACTGTTTTACACATGCCAAACATCAGACATTTGAAATAGCTAAAGCTATAGACTCTATATAGAATATAGTAGGAATTCTATTAATGTTGGATCTATATAGATATAAATTTTAGTGTTATTTAAATCCTAGTATTTTCCATGCTTCCTTTTCGCAGGACTTTAATGGAAATATATATATTTTTAAGTGATCTAAAGTTTCAAAATTTCTATCACTGGCTACTCAGAAAGGAAACTCAATTAAAAGTTGTTTGCAAAAGTTGTTTACCTACTGAAAATATTTAGAATTCACATTAAAATGTCCATACAGACTGTACTTTTTAAAGATGTAAAGTCTGCCAAATAATCCTTTAACTACAGTTTTCCCTTGAACAGTGTGGGGCTTAGGGTTGTATAAGCTTGTGACTCCGCAAAAGTGAAATGCCAACAAGCCTACTCTGGAACCCTTAGCAGTACCGGTCCATTAGTCCATATTTTATACCTACATAAAAGCTGCATTTTCAATTCAAGATAAAGGACAAGCTCTTCACAAATGCTAGTTTAAGAAAAGCTTCATGATTGTTTTTTACAACGGTCCTTATACTGGATTAATTAGTCTTAAAGTGATGGACAACCAGACCTGTGTACATTGCAAGCATTTCAGCTTTTTTTAATACCTCATGACTTTGCTTCTCAGGAGCATATCTAGCAGTACTTTTTATGGGTCCTGTGGCATTACAGTGTTACATTGCCCCCCAAAACAAACCCATTGCTATGAAGTTAAGTGTGACCTTAAATATATTGTGACCTTCCAACACTATAAATCTTACTGGGCACAATCAGCCTCTTTCTAAGAATAGCTGTTGTTTTTGAACTACCAACTTTGAGGTTAGCAGCCAGCAGCCCAAGGCTTATCCCGGAGTGCTACCAGGCCTACTTATATTACAGTTAACACAGTGAAACATACACAGAATTGTGAGAGCACCCTTTTTACTGCAGGACATAATTTACTGTGAACTGTTCACACAGATGATTGGCATCATGGTGCTTTTTAAGAATTTATGTCTCATTCAGTTCAAACCCACGTTGTTCAAGAGTCAGCTGTACTGAGAAAAAGTAACTTAGTGTTTTAGTATATATGTTACCTGATGTAGTCTGTCAGATACCACATAATCACATTTATCTTTCAATTCCAAAGGGATTGTTTATTAAGACAATGAGCTCAAGAGTACACCTCAAACTAATTTACCTTTGTTAGGTATAGGTAAAGAAGACATTAAGAAAAAGTATCAGCTACATATATCTTCCAGCTCCCTCAGACACATTTACATTCATGTTTTTTTAAAGGCATATACATTCATCATTTTCCTTTCAAGCATAAGCTTATTATAGAATGCAGTTTAAGAACTGGCACATAAAGTAGACAGTGGTTTAATAAAATAAGTTTCTCAACTGAAAGCATTCTTTCTCCTATACCACTTTTGAAGATCTTAGGAGAAGCTGTGAGGAACAGAAGGATTTCTCTTAAGTTGTCTCCCCAAAATATATGCCAGACTTAGCTTGAGAATAATTGTTCACTAGGCAGCGAAAGTAGGTCAGATGTTATTCTCCCTAACATCAGCCATCTAGAGAGGCCAGACTGCATAGTCTGACTCACCCCAAATAGGGCCCATTCCTTTCTGTTATTGTTCCCTCGAAGCAGTGCCCAAAGGTAAGCCCGGGACCACTCTAAGATGACTAACTAGGTCATCCCCCTCCTATTGCTTGTATTGCCCCTCTCTGTGATGCATGATGCTGTAATGTATCCCCCTAAAGTAATGTGATGGGTGGTTAGCAATAAATAAGGAGGCTCCCTGATTCTCGAGGAGAGGTGGCTGGCCGAGGGTGGCTGACAGAGGGCAGCTGAGGAAGGAGGGCTGCTTGCCGTGAGGGCAATGGACGAGAGGGCTGCTCCCGCGAGGTAGGCGGCTCCTGCTCTGGCAGCCGGGTTCCCCCCACGAGGACCACCAAGCAGGGCAGAGGTGAGCAATGTTACCATGTAATATGTCTGACTGTATTATTGTATTATCTCTCATGATCTCGATGACTTTAATACTTATAAATCTCAACCGTACAATTGTACTTACTGAATCCGAGTAGTAGTAATAGTAGTAGCAGCGGGTGGGGGCTGGCACCCCACTCCCCCCCTCGGCGTCATTTTTAATTTAATACTACAAGAAGCCAACTCTACAGTTCTTAGTAGGAACTACTCCAAGAGAATTCTAAGGTTCCACAACATTGTTCAGGTTAAGAAGAGGTAGACTTTAGTGTAGAGCTTGGTGCCTAAAAAGTATTTATATTTCATAAAGACCTTTACTCTTTTTAAAAAGTACTGAGAGCAGATTTTTATTCTGCAGTATATTCAAGTCTCTGAAAACTCAACAAGTGGGGAGGGTGGGGGAGGGGTGTAATTAAGAGAGTGGGGGAATTTTAGGTTTACCCAGAATTTTCCACCTTTTAGTAGCCAGCCAACATCAGTTTCCGGTCTTCTTTATGTAGTTCAGAAGTTCGTCTTTATCCATTTGGTATCCACTTTTTTTCCACTGTTCTCGCAACTGTTGTAACAGAGCTCCAATTTCTTTTCCTGAAAAAATTCCCGCTTTTCTGATGTCGTGGCCACTGACAGGAAACAAAGGGATGGACCACTGCTGCATTTCCTTCAGAAGACAATGCTCCCCTTGGTACTTCAGTAGTTCACAGACACGGACAGTCGCATCCGAGTCCCTAGACTGAGGTCAAGATCAAACACTGAGTCTCACAACAGAAAACTTACCCTAAAACTTTAGTAGGTAGTCAAAAGAAGGATTTCCACATCGAATCAACAGAATATATCATAGAACTGTTTTAATAATTTTGTTCTAAAATTGGCTTAGGACGAGCTGTATTCTGTCATACTTAAGTAATAACCAAGGCTAAGTATGTACTTACATCTATAATGAAGTCTTGATAGGGTTTCAATGGTTCTGAACTATCCACTGCTTTAATTAAGTCATTCCTATTTTTAACTATAAATAAACCGAGGTTCTTCTCTTCCTTTGAAATCTTTAATCTCAAATCCAATTTTGTTATATCCTCCTGTACTTTGAGTAATGAAGCCAAGAGTGTCATCGGTTTTGGTGAAAAACCTTCAACATTTTTACTGACTTTGTTAAATTCATCTAAGCTGGCATTAGCAGGTAAACCTAAGGAGACAAAAGCATTTTTTACAAGTTTTTAGAGTGGATACATTTAATAAAGGCACATTTCCTAATTGAACCATTGTTGTTAAGACTACAAAAAAACAAGTCTCATACTTCTTACAAGTGACCCCTGGTACTCTGTTGTGATGCTCTCCCATGTCACTCTTCCAAATCTTACAGGGAGACCCTAAAATGCTCTTACTGCCACTAACAAAAACTCAGAGGCAGTAGCAACGGAAGTCGCATTCACAAGAAATACTGTTTCAAAAAAACCCCTCTTGACTTAATATCCACCCAGCTACTCCATCAATGTTGTATCTTCTGTGACTGTATCATTGTGCTTGTACTGTTGTACTATACACCTACAGGTTGGCAGTTTGAACCCACTCTGGAATCACGAAGAAAGTTCTGAAAGTAAAGATTACAACTGAGAGAACGCTATTCTCTAGCACAATTGGTTCCCAGGAGTAGGAATCAATTCAACAACAGATTTGGTTTGGGGTATTTAAAATATAAACAAACCTCAGACTGATAAACTGTATAGACCCACTTTTCCCTTTCTGAACAGCACAACTAAACAATTTCTACATATGTCACTCTTCTATAAACTTGACATGTATTAATACATTTAGGCCCTTTACTAAATAGATGTTATATATTTTTATCATTTTATTAGAGGCTCATACAACTCCTCGCAATGCATACATACATCCACTGTGTCAAGCACATTTGTACGTTTGTTGCCATCATTCTCAAAAAATTTTCTTTCTACTTGAGCCCTTGGTATCAGCTCATTTCCCCCCCTCCGTCCTCCATAAAACCTTGATAATTTATAAATTATTTTTCCGTCTTATACTGTCCATTGTCTCCCTTCACCCACTTTTCTGTTGTAGATAGTTGTGACTGGTTCCCCCTTTCTCCCTCACCTTACCCTTACCCTCCTGGTATCACTACTCTCATTATTGGTCCTGAAGGGGTTCTGTCCTGGATTCTGTTTGCAGCTCTTATCTGTACCAGTGTACATCCTCTGGTCCAGCCAGATTTGTAAGGCAGAATTGGGATCATGATAGTTGGGGGAAGCATTAGAGAACTAGAGGAAAGTTGTATGTTTCACCATTGCTAAACTGCTCCGACTGGCTCGTGTCCTCCCCGCAACCATTCTGTAAGGGGATGTCCAGTTGCCTACACTCTGCACTCCCCCTCATTCACAATATGATTTTTTGTTCTTTGATGCCTGATAATTGATCCCTTCGAAACCTCGTGGTCACTTGGGCTGGTGTGCTTCCATGTGGACTTTGTTGCTTCCCAGCTAGATGGCTACTTATTTACCTTCAAGCCTTTAAGACCCCACACACACTATCTTTTGATAGCCGCCATCAGCTTTCTTTACATTTGTTTATGCACCCGCTTTGTCTTCAGCGATCATGGGAAGGTGAGCATCATGGAATGCCAGTTTAATAGAACAAAGTGTTCTTGCATTGAGGGAGTACCTGAGTGGAGGCCCAATGTCCACCTGCTACCTTAATACTAGACCTATAAATATATGCACATAGAGCTATTTCCCCATCGTCATATATAAATATATATACATATATAACTGCCTATATTTAAACCTCTATACATGCCCTTTGCCTCCAACTACTACCCACTTTTTCCTTTGACGTTCCTCTTGTCCCACTATCATGCTCAGCCTTCATTTGGGTTTCAGTAATCCCCCTCAGTAACATTGCCCTTGATCAAGTCCTACCAGGCCTCCCACATCCTCCTCGCCATCGATTTTGGATCACTTGTTCCCTTGTCCCTGGGTTTGTTAACACCCAGTTCCTTTTCCCTGCCACCCCCTCTCACATGGCCCCACTAGAACCGTCATTCCTATTGTTTTCTCCTCCAGATTGTTTATCCTGCCTATCTTATATAGGTAGACCTGCAGAAATACTATGCACAAAAAACAAAGCAACAAAACAAAACAACCACTACCACCAAAAAAAAAAGCCTGTAATAGACACCAGTCTATTTTTGGTATTCCTTAGGGACTTCTTTGCTCTGTTTCCCTTGCTGTTCTGTTGCATACCCTTCATGTTTCGCGTCAGTGTGGTGGGGTCGATCGGGCGCAATTCCCACTTTGTCTCCAGTGTTTCCACCATAGCACTATGGGTCAGTGAGGGACGTCGTGTCTCATAGAGGGGCCAGCCCTATGTTCCTCTCTGAGCGGGAATATTGTCCTCAGGGGAAGATGGGCCAATAAATGCTATTTCTATGACTGAAGGAAACCCATTTGCTCAGTGGGTTAGGTGTTTGGCCCGCTAAAGACGATAGTTCAAAGCCACCAGCCACCCTGCTGGAGAAAGATGAGGCTTTCTGCTCTCATATAAAGATTCACAGTCTTGGAAATGTTAGGGAGAAGTTCTACTCAGTCTTATATGGTACTGATGAGTTGGAATCAACTTTCAGTGGGTAGGATTTTAGACCCAGAAACCAAAGTGGAAGGAACTCAGATTACAAAGCCTAAGTGACAGAGCCAGTCAAACCCAGGCCCTGTCCAACTCCTGCCATTCAGTGTGCTCTCTGGGATCTATCCTAAATGTATGACAAAACTTTCCTACCTCTGACCCCAAAATTTACCCTGTCATAAAATATCCCATCTCTCCCTAAGAAATTCTCTTCAACTACTCAAGCAATTTTCCTTATAAATTTATAAGCCAGATATTTTACTGCCCCAACTTAAGACATTTTACTGCTTATACTCACCTATGTAAGGGGCCACATCAAGATCATACATAAGATTAATCAGGTGCTTTACATGGTTACCAACAAGAATTTTTTTCACTTCTACCCAAATCCTCTCTCCTGATATTCCCGCCAGGCCTTTCCCATTTTCTGCAATTGCTTCCAATGTTTTAGGATCATGGTCATCAGGTTTTTCAACAATTCTTCCATAAAACCTGCAAGACAAAAGTTCCAGATAGCATTACCTGCTTTGGCATATCCCAGAGTTTTAATGGTAATGCTGTTGCATACATTTACTTCATCAAAAACCAACAACAGGGCTAGTTAAGTCTAAGAGGAACCTAGAAATCATCTGGTCACTTCACCTCTCTTTTTCAGATGAGAAAATCAAGATCAAATTTAAAAAATAAGTGACTCATTTAAGATTAGTGAGAACTAAACCAAAAAGCTTAAATGACTTTATTCTCCTTCAGGCAAGACAAATTGGGTGGCGGGGAATGGCAGCTAAGCCAAGATAGATTTTTATAATTAATTGTTAATTGAAATGTTTAAAAACAAACATACATATAATTATAAAACATCTCATAGACCATTTCTGTATTATCTTACTAGTCTGACCTGATATTAAAAGACCACCAGTGCATGTAATACCATGCTTGGCCTCACAAAGATGCAACAGGATCCCATGGTACAAGCTACATGTAGATGGGCTAAGCAGCGGTTCTCAACCAGTGGGCCGCTACCACTTTGGGGGTTGAACGACCCTTTCACAGGGGTTGCCCAATTCATAACTAGCAAAATGACAGTGATGAAGTAGCAACGAAAATAAATTTATGGTTAGGGGGTCACCACAACATGAGGTACTGTTATTAAAGGGTCACAGGAGTAGGAAGGTAGAGAACCACTGGGCTACTACAGTAAGCCATGTTCGATTTTTATTTTTGGTTACAAAACTCTTGATTTTGTCCTTGATTAATTCAAAGAGTTAAGCACTCACGTAATGTTAGTGGTTCATATTCACCCATAAACACCTGTGAATGAAGGGCTGGGGAGTAAAGTTTACTCTAGGACTTGGGGCTGCCATGAATCAGAATCAAGTTGATGACAATTGCTTAGGGGTTTTGAGGGTTTTTTTTCAACCAAGAAAATACTAACTCGTGTTCTGTTTTTGTCTATGAAACTGTCCTAAACCATGACCTTTCCAGTCACATAACGTTCACACAAATTTGGACAATGAGGTGAATTATGGTGCTGGCATACTGTGGATTGCCAGCACAACAAACAAATCTGTCTTAGAAGTGCAGTCAGAATGCTCCTTAGAAGAGAAGATGGTAAGACTTCAAGAGACCAGTTCCTAGAAAAAGCACCTTGAGGACGATGACCCTAATTAGAGCAGCCAGTCCAGAGAGAGGACCAATGGCCAGCCCCACTGTGAAACATGATGCCCCTCACTGACCCATGGCCCTGCGGGGGACAGCACCAGAGACACAGTGTGGG